GCACACAGAGGTTGAACACTGATTTCACAGTAATTACAGTGATTGTACAGTGATTGCACACAGTGGTTGAACAATGATCAAACAGTGAATACAGTGATTGCACACAGTGGTTGAACAGTGAGTGAACAATAATTGATAACTGATTGAACACTAATTGATAACTGATTGAACAGTGATTTAACCAAATTAAGATTCACACTTGTATTCAGAATGAGGGAGGAACTACATCTCTTTTATTGAATAAACAGTGTTTCTTACCTGTGACTGCCTTACAAATATACCATGGTTATCTTGGCAATTGAAGTAACGTTTCCCTTGAACAGTGCCATTGTTCTTACCCTTAGCATCATCCAATATAATACCAATCCATTTACCACTATATAAAACAATAGATTCAATCATTTTACCATATTTGGGGTTTGCCTTCTGGGTGCAGTATTCGATACATTTTCAATTAATTTTTTTCGTGGTACTTTTATTTTTGGGACTTTCAAGGTAAAGGCAGCTCCTTATTTTTAAAATTAGATAGTCCCCATTGTTAAGGACTATTGAAAACAAAAAAAATGAATTGTTTACCTTGCAAATAATGTAGATCCTACATATGCCACTTTTCCATGTAAACCTTTACCAATTACTTCCACACGGCTGCCTACTCTGGTTGCCATGGTTATTAAGTCAATCTAATAACACTGAAAACAAACAAATCAAAACAACATTATTTAAAATGATTATGAAGGTAAATTATTTTACCTCCATGATATAATTTAGTGTTTACAGTAGACTACTGGAACATTAAAAAACAAACTCAAACTAGAAGGCAGAAGATGATGAATAACTTTTGTATTAATGTGCGACAGTACTTGTTTGTAATTGGTCCTGACAACATTTGTGAATTGTGGCGTAATTCAATATTGGACAATTTGAGACATTTAGATTTTCCTATGAAGGAAGAGTTGAATTATTGCATTCACATTTGGCCATTATTGCAGATATTACTGTTTTGCATAATGATGAGGTCATATGTTAGTCATATCTCTTGTGCAATGTATTCATTATATTCATGATATTAAAGATGTGACTAATTAGATGATCATATATGGTCATGTAACCTCATTAACATTCATATCCGTAACATGTAAATGCATAAAAAATCATCCTTAAAAATAGACTCAGCATCACTTTTTCGGAAAGAAACACTTTTATTGCTGGTTAAAACCCTGTTGATTCAATCAACAGAATATTTGCACACCTATCAACCTAGTATTACTAATGTAATTTTAATAATTAAAATTGGATGCATATCAACTCATCAGTTACTGTGAACAAAGTTTCATAAAACAAAAGGCATTCCTTCATCTTTATAAATTCCAATGGCAGTTGAATCCAACCAACATCAACACACACAGTGAAAACAATCCAGTGTTATTTAATCTGTCTATAAAAGACTCTTGTTTCAGTTTGAATTGTGAAATTTGTTGTGTTGTGAGTATACAACTTGTACAATTTAATCAATGGATTCAGGTTTGATGAGGTAAGTTACACTTATTTTGAACAGAAGCACTGGCATTGGTGTACAACAAAGGTGTAAATTTTGGTATACGCAACCATTTTTAATATTAAATAATTATTATTTTAACAACTTGTTTCAAACCACAAAATGCAATGTACAGTCATTGATATTTATACTTCCCAAACCTCACTTTCTCCCCAGAATAATATATGCACTTATTTCTTACACAATCAATTTCTTTGACAAGGCTTTCAGTGTCACATACCCTTATGCATACTTGCCAAAAGCACACACTGCCAACACGAATTAGACAAACAATACACAAACCTTTTTAAAAAAAAAAATCACGTGATCAATACACATATGTTGTTCTTTGTGTGGTCACACCCCCAGATCCAGGGTTGAAGGGGAAGGTATTCTACATTCGATTCCAAGCGGGTCAACCTGTTCACTTATTTCGCCCCCCTCCTCCATAACTTGTTTTTCACATTCTCTCAATCTATATTATTCATTTAAAGAAGCATTACCTTCACAAATTCAAGTGTGTATATACAAGTGATGAATTGTATATTTGACAAGGCATATAGTCGACTCCAATGTTGACTGTCGATACTAGCAGTTATGAATTACTTGAAATAATTTGACTCACCGAAAATTTGTTGTTATATATCACGAATATTTCTCATATCAGACATCTTTTCTGCCCGCAAATGGCGGCTGTGTTGCAGTGCATTGTGGGATGACCTCATTTCCTGTATTTAGTTCGAAAGAGAAAATGGCAGCGTCCAGCGCAGGTAATTTCGTATATATATTTTTAATATATTGAAAAATGTGGTTCTGAAGCTTGTATTTGGTAATGATAACGTAGCACTGATACAGAATAGTGGCATGTAGCCTAATTCCTATGTGTAACAGTACACGAGTACAATATTTTAGGATAATACGGTTCCCGATTTCCAGATTCATAGCAGAGACCGGAAACGAATACTCAAGTCACTCTTGCCGGCTAACTGTGACAAGAGTTAGGGTGGCTTGCAACTTGTAATTTGGATCTTCTCATATATGTAAAACAAACAGTCGGTTGTGTATAAGATCCGAAACCGGAATTGCATCCTGAAAAAATAATAATATTGAATGATTTATGTACGTTACACATTACATGTAGGTTTAGGATTTAGGTTGAGCTACATTTTTGTATGTGGGTCACTGGTAGCAGACATTTTTAATAATAATGATAATGATGTTTTATTGCATCTTCAGAAATAACATTTCTATCAGTGTACAACAATAAAGTGTAATATAAATTATTTTAAAATGAAAAACGGTCATGAGTCTGTATTTTGTGCATTCCATGAAGAATTATTGTTCATTTTCAATCTTTCTTTATGCACAATATTTACATATTCTCATTTCTAGAGGTTTTTTGGATTGGAGATGTTGCCCTTTCTCTATTTCTAATGTATGGTTACTTATTCTAAAACGTGTCATTGTGTTCAGTATAGATAAATAACGCACAAAAGTGTACAATTTCTTAAATTTGGCAAATATTTTCTATTATTTGACCTACCGGTAGGTGAAGCTGGTTAATGCTATTTTAAAGTGTTCACAAATGTACATACACTGTATATGCATGGTAACTAACCGTAATGTATGCATTATAACCAATGGATTCATCTGATGCAACTATGCCAATGGAATAAATAGCACCCACATTGTGAATAATCAGCATAAGGAAACCCTAATTGCTCCAAGTTATTTATTGCTTCATAAGTATAACTTGTTTTGCAGGCATGGATCTGGAGGAGACACGAAGACGACGTAAACATGGAATGTTGAAATTATATTATGGGATGGATGATGATACAGGGCAAACCAATGTGGACCCTTGTGATATCAATGGGGCTCACTTCAAACCTGAGTTTTACCTCAATAAGCTGATAAAAGAGAAGAGATTAACTGAGTTAATGGGAAGAGAAAGTGATATGGTTAAACGTATGTGGTATTTAATAAATAATAATGAAATTTGATTGATAAGCTACTCAACCAAAAAGGCTGATCTTTCATAGGAATGACATAGGATATAAATGCAGCAATTGTTTGCATCTATGTCTAAGTGATTTCACTCTGAAACTACTTGAATGTAAAATGTAGATTTTCAGTATTCCCAATACATGTATAATATAGCATGTGGCCAGTTCGGTAACCGGTGCTCAGTTCTCTTTAATGAAAAGAAGACTGTATGTATGCTTTTTCAACCTCGCATTGGAATAGTTAATCCAGTGTCTATCCTTTTAAATGGTAGAATTCTTAAGTATGTTGACGTATATAAATATTTGGGTCATTTAATAACCTCTGATCTTAAAGATGATAGAGATGGTGTAACAAGACTAGAATGTTTTATGTTAGAGGCAATGTTATTATTCGTGATTTTTAGTTTGCATCATTTCCTGTTAAGTGCAATTTGTTCTCTGTTTTTTGTGATGTTCCATATTGTTAGTCCCCGTTCGGACGCAGTTCGAAAACGGGGACTTATGTTTTGACCTCTGTGTGTGCGTGCGTGCGTGTGTGCGTGCGTGCGTGCGTCTGTGCGTGCGTCCGGACCTGTCTCTTAGAAATGCCTGGACCAATCACAATCAAACTTCACACATACATCACACATGATATACATATGCACGTCAATTTGTTTCACGATCTGATTCAAGATGGCCGAATGGCGGCCATTTTTATGCTAAAAATCATCAAAATCAAGCATTTCCCAGCTGTTTATAGATGGATTTTGTTCAAACCTTGTATATACGTTGGACATTATAGGACCTTGATGCACAACATGTTGTTTTACGATCTGATTTAAGATGGTCGAATGGCGTTCATTTTTGTGCTGAAAAATCCTAAAAATCAAGCATTTCTCGGCTGTTTACAGATGGATTTTGTTCAAACTTTGTATATACATTAGACATTATGGGACCTTCATGTAAATAATTTTGTTTTTCAGATAAGATTCAAAATGGCCGGCTGGCGGCCATTTTGTTTTAATGAATGTCGTTCTTGTGCCATATCTCTGACTTGTTTTGACTGATTATGTTCAAATTTTAAATATTCATTATACACCATGTCATAGATAAACAGATATATTGGTTCGACAATCATATTCATAATGACCGAATGGTGGTCATTTTTGTGCTAAAAAATCATCAAATATCAAGCATTTCTGGCATTCTGTCAAACTTGGTACATACATTAGACATTACTGGTTCCTGATGCACGTCATTTTATTTGTCAGATTAGATTCAAAATGGATGACTGGCGGCCATTTTGTTTTAATGATTGGGCTTCTAGAGCCATGTCTCTTAAATGCTTTGACTGATGATGTTCAAATTTCATATATTCGTTATACATCATGTTATATATATATACATGTAAATGGTTGATTTTGAATGCTGTTCCAGAGCAATATCTCTCAATATGGACAAGTACTTGTTTGACGATCAGATACAAATTTCAATCATTTTAATGTTAAAAAATCATATTTCTGACATGGTTATATTCCAGCTATATTACTATAAACAAAACTATATATCTTAAATTTGATAACTAACGGGGACTGTGCCATGCATGGCTTGTTCTTATTTATTGTGTCATTACACCATTCAGTCTTATTGTAATTTACACAGAGCTCAATCACAAGTTTTTCGAAAATTGTCCAGTTTTAAACACTCTTATGTTCAAAGCAATAGTTTGATGCTTGTTGGTTTATCTCTTTTAACATTTGACGAAATTGTTAGGATGAAGTGTTTTAGTTTTCTTTCACGTTTGCACTTGTTTGACAACCCACTTGTTACAGCTGCATTATCCATTTCTATTTTGTTGGGTAGTGTTTTATGGAAAGTGTGGAGCAAGAGAATTTGTTGATGGGTACATATTTTTTAACTTCTATGGATTATTCTTTTTCAATCTGAAATAAACCTCAATAATAATAATAATAATAATACATGTAATAACAATAATAACAATAATAATAAGTCATTTTAGGCAGAAATGCTATAATTAACAATCATAATTATTCATATTTTTTTTCATAGTTTTATTCCTATGATTGTTCACTACAAAAGGTGATACCAACTGTAACAATGGTGGTTCAGATTTTCACTATGAGTCTTTTCCAGAATGTTTATTACTCCCCATTTGGATGAAGTCCGAAAACGGGAACTTATAATTCGGTCTCTGTCCGTCCGTGCGTCTGTCCGGAGTCGTATCTCAGAATCCCTTGGACCGATTTCGTTCATTCTTTGCATGTGCCTAGTACTTTATGTGGGACATATGCACATGCAGTGGTTTAGCGATTCGATTCAAAATGGCCGTCTGGCAGCCATCTTGTTTTTTGAAAATGTTGTATTCATTCAACCTTGGTACATAGATTATACATGTTAGAATACATGTTGATGACGATTTATTTCACAATTGGATCAACGATGGCCGACTGGCAGCCATCTTGTTTTTTGAAAATGTCTTATTTTGGACATGCTTTGTCAGTTTTCATTCAAATTTAGTACATAGATCATACATGTTAGGATACATGTCCCCAATAGTCCATCAGTTCCTGAGTCTGTCCATCCATCCGTGTGTCCGTCCGTCCGTACATCAGTCTGTCCAAAGTCATATTTAAGAATCCTGTGGACCGATTCCTTTCATTCTTTGCATGTGCCTTGTATCTTATGTGGGACATACATGTATGCACATAAGGTACTAGTGGTTTAGAAATTTGATTCAAAATGACCGACTGGCAGCCATCTTGTTTTTTGAAAATGTTGTATTTTGGACATGCTTTGTCAGTTGTCATTCAAACTTGGTACATAGATTATACATGTTGGATCAAAGATGGTCGACTGGCAGGCATCTTGTTTTTTGTTTTTTTTATGCGGTATCTTGGACGTGCTCTGTCAGTTTTCATTCAAATATGGCACATACATGTACTTTATACATGTTAGGATGCATGTCCATGACAATTTATTTCAAAATCTGGTCAAGGATGGCCGATTGACAGCCATCTGACTTTTTGGCCTTACTACTGTATTTCCACAATTTATGTACCATTTTCATTTGTATTTGGCACATACATGTACATCATACATATCAGTGTGTTTCATAATCAGATCAAAGATGGCCGAATAACGACTGTCACTGTAGGGAAAATTTGGCACAACAGTAGATTATCTACTACATTTTTAGTCCCCATTCGGACACAGTCAGAAAACGAAGACTTATGGATTTACCTCTGAGTATCTGTGCATTCGTGCCTACATCCGTTCCTATATCTTAGACATGCATGAACTGATTACATTCAAGCATTTCTGGCATTCCGGATCCAGATCTCAGCTGTTTACTGACGGATTTTGTTCAAACTTGGTACATACATTGGACATTATGGGACCTTGATGCACATCATTTTATTTTTCAAATTAGATTCAAAACAACAAACTGGTCGCCATTTTGTTGAGTGAATGTGGTTATGTTTATATATATAATATATTTATTATACTTCATGTCATAGATAAACAGATGTATTCAAAACAGCTGAAAAGTGTCCATTTTCTTTTAATAAATGCTGTTCCAGAGTAATATCTCTCAATATGGACAAGTCCTCGTTTGATGATCAGATACAAGATGACTGAATGTCGATCATTCCAATGTTAAAAATTCATCATCATCAAGCATCATCTTTCAGATCCATATATCTGACATGTTTATATTATGTTATATAACTACATGTATATTACTATAAACAAAACTACCGGTATATATCTTAAATTTGATAACTAACAGGGACTGTGCCATGTATAGCTTGTTTATTTACGGGTATACTCTATATCTTGTGACACATAGTTCATGTTTCTGCACATTTCTCTGTACATGAATGACAATAAAACACTACATACAAATGTATGTATCTGTCTTCTCTATTGATCCAAACAACACTTGGCCTAATCACATTGAAGTATAGTAACGTTTTATGTCACACAGAGATAAAGTCATTGGACAGTGACATGCAGACATTGGTTTATGAAAATTACAATAAATTTATAAGTGCTACAGATACAATCAGAAAGGTAAGTACATGTATATCATTATATCGCTGTAATCTTGCAGTATTGCACAGGATATCTGCATCCTACTTTATTAGGAAATGCAAATTCCAAATATGGAGAAATTACTCAGTACTCGGTATTTTCAAGATGGCGTAAATGTCTGAAAAGAAAGGTATTACGAAAAAGATTGTATAATTTTCACCATCGCCATCTAGGTTCACACACACCATTCGATTGGATTGATAGATGTATAACAATAAGGTTATCATTAGGATATCACAAAGTATGTAAATTTTCAAGTCTATTTGTAATCCCATGGCAAATCTACTGCTTAGATTAGAATATCAATGAGAAACAACATTTAATCTAATACGTGAATCAAAATTATCAATGGTGTCCAATACAAGCAGTTCAAAGAATGCAAAACTGCAATGGTTTCACTATGTTTTGCCTGTTGTAATGAAGTTTTTCTGTTTTATTGTAGATGAAAAATGATTTTAAGAAGATGGAATATGAGATGGATGGTCTTGTGAGCAACATGACTAAGATTACATCATTTAGTGCCAGTATAAGTAATACACTGCAGGACAGAAGACAACAAATCAACAAGCTTAGTGGTGTACATTCCCTGCTAAAGAAGGTACACACTCATGTTTTACCAAGGCAGCATGAAAATTCAACAGTTTGGTATGATCATGATTGTTCCGTTGCAAAAACCATGGCAACTAGAGCACTGAATGAATTTAGACGAACCAGAACACATAACTCGCTCGATAACCTAAGAAAGCAAAAAGCCAGTTATCGGAAATTATTGGCACTAAAGAAAAAACAATTTGAAGAGAGAGAGAAATTTAAACTACTGGAAGCATCCAAACAAACGATTTCAAAAAACTTTTGGTCCCTGCTAAAAACAAATAAACATAACCCTTCTTTAAATATTTCTAACGATGAATGGTTTGGTTATTTTCGAAACCTGTTCAGTTATAATGAAGGTGAAATTGATGTGGACCCTTTTT